GAAAACACGAACACGGTGTACAGTCGAGTCTTAATAGCTTACTTACAGCTGGGCTCGTCAGGCGCTCTTCTTGGCTGCAGTGGTTATTATTATATTTACATGCTTCATACATGCTATGTCTGTAACACTCTGCCTATTGCCTTCATATTAGATCATTTTTTGCACAATAATTTTTAAAAATGTTTTTTCACGTCATTGTGCGAGGTGACAGACATTAGAGCCTCTTAATGCGTGTTTGGGTTTCCACCGGCGTGGAATTACCAAAAATAGAGACGGCATAGCCGAACATATGAAACAGGAAAGACCGCCTTTATTTCAACAGAGTAACTGTATTCTGATTACCACCTTTTTAAACGGTAACTGAATACAGTTACTCATATTTTGTATTTTAAACACCAGCACATGTATTCCGTTACTCCCCAACACTGTAGAAGAGAGCTGGAGGAAGAAGAGAAGCAGGCGACAAACAAACTGCAAAACATGCAAAGAAACGCCTGCAGCAAGGTGTTCCTAATGTTTTGCCCATACTATCACACTATAATAACATAACTTATATTTTTATATATTATAATGAGAGCAGGTTTGAGGGATTTATACACTCAGTGTGGTAACTGTTACATTACAAACAAAGGTCAAAGGTCACTGTAAAACATGCTCATTACTGATTGTTTTTCTGTGAGCTGTTTTAGTTGTGGTTCAACACTGTAACAGCACTCGGGCAGACGGTGGTGTTTCAGCGATGCTCAGCTGTTCAGCATTTCACACTTAACACGGAGGAAACCGTGTGAAAGCACTTTGAGTACTCAGAGTAAACGCTCATCATGTAAGTACACCTCCATTCACCTGTGGAAAGCTGTCATGCAGCCAGAGACTCGTTCATTCGTCAGTGAGATGAAACTAAAATAACGTCTGCAGCAGGATTTCCGCCTCGCTGTTGAAGTTTTTCTGCCCTCGTTTACAAGCCTTAGAGACTGTAAAGGTTAATCATTTAAACACACACACACACACACACTGTCATGCACACAGAGCAGCGTACAGTCGGCGAGGTGTGGCGGTTCTCATGGCTTTATGGCGAGAATGTGTGTCATAAACGCTGCGGGTAAATACAGGAATGCTGTCTGCGGCGAGCTGATGAATGGTTATTTGAGAAAAGCGTGTTTGATGACGAGCTCAGCTGTGGGAAGAACACAGCATCACTCTGTTTATTAAAATCTGACTCCATATCAAAGCTTTATTCCTCTAATGGCTCCTGGGTGAAGTCCATGACCCAGACCTCTGTGGATGGTGTCGGCGGTGTTTTGGCTCCACGCTGGGACTCTTATCTGCAGAGCTGACGTAGGAGGAGTCGGATGTTCATCCATCCTTGCTGATATCAAGTGATTATCCTCAAGTCTATATTTCAGAGTCCTCTTCGATGTGGGAGGCCACAGGTCTACAGTCCTTTAAACCTGTATAATTTGAAATGTCCAGCAGGCGGCGACTCTTCTGGTCGTAAATGCTTCAGTAAACACTCTCATGATGCGTTCATGGTTCCGTCAGCAGTTGGAGATATCATTGAATACAACTTCAAGTTATTCATGTAAACTTTGGTCTCATTGGAGTTAAAAATGGCCGTAAGATGATTGGGGACCCCAAAAGTGGAGGTCTGGTTGCCTTTGATCACTGCTCCATCAATGGTGTCGGAAATATCCTGGGAAATAATAAAAATTCCTGATCATCATAGATATATATGGGTTATCAGGCAGCAGATAAAGCTGTGATTTAATGTTTATCTGTGACTTAATTTGGTGCGTGTTGAGTCGAGTGTTAAAGCTCAATAAATGTTATTTTATTGTACACGTATGTAAACAGAGTCTTACTTCTTGCTCAGCAAACACAGTGTGATGGTGAAATGTGACGAATTCCAAAGTCTCATCAGAGCGTTGGTCATGCTCG